TCTATTAGAACCACAGTTTTTAAGTCACACAATATCATAGCAGGAGACTCTGACAGCAGCCAATGCATAAAGCCCACTGGGAGTATCCAGTCAGCGAATATGGAGTCTTACTGAAATACCAAAGGTTTCATATCCTGAAAATGCTTCATCAATGTCTGATCACAAAAATGTGTCCTGATAGTTTCACAAAGAAAATTATCTGCAGTTCATTGATAATCTATTTAAAAAAAGTAGATGCTTTTAAGTAATTGAATAACCTTGTTTTTTTGTTACCTTCTAGGTAAACTCTCAGGACAAATATAATCTAACAGCCGGGGGAATTATGCATATAATCCATATTTATTTGGCATACAGAGCCCAGAAAAACATCAATAACACATTATAAGCACAATCTTTAACTTACTTAAATGTGGTAGATCCATGCAGATTAGTATGTAACTGTGAAGTGCATGGAAAACAATATTATAATATACAAATATTTTACAAACAAAGATCGAAAAAAAAAATTTAGCACCAATTTGTATTCAAATTGAATGAGTCATGCAATGGCTTGACATGAGTCAAAATGTTGGGCAGCCATCATTTTCTGCAAAACAACTAGTTGCACTGAATTTGTCCAGTTCATCACATCAGTGTGGGAGGGTGACACAAAAATGTGCGTCACACATGTCAGAATAACATGTTATTATTTTGAAAACCATTGTCCACCCATTCACGAATTATGCATTTACTCTGTCAGGTTCCGATTGGAAACTTACTGACCACAGAGATTCGCCCAAACAACTGAGTGATATGACTAATTTACACTTTCAGCATCACTAACATTTGTTTTGGTGACATTTAAAAAGGAAGTTCAGTGACGTATTTTCACTTTCTACAAGTAAATAATGTTGAGAAAATAAAGCTAATGAATGTATAATCATAAACCACACCTAGATTCTCGTGTACAGAAAATCCAACCCCCCCCCCCCCCACAAAAAAAAAAAAACCACAACAACCAACCAACCACACCCAAACAAATACCTCCCTCAGAAGTCATTGTTATCTCTACGACAGAGCTTCAAAGAATGTGCCGACCTGGACAATCTAAAGTTTGCACCAAGGACCCCGCTGACCCCACGACACCTGGTGTCCCCAAAGAGGACAGGGAAAGCTCAAAGTCCAAACACTTAGCAGCACAGCAGTTTGTTGCATTTAAGAGCAGACTGCGTCTAATCCAGAACTGGTTACTTATTGGTACGACGACGTATCAGGACGAAGCCCGATGAGGTCAGACTGTTTGGCAGTAAGCTATTCCCACTTATCTCCAGAACTCAGGTGGGTTTAGGGAATGACTTGCCTCCGTCGGTATGCGTTATGTCGTTCATCCTCTGAACAGGTGGCACTCCCTTAGTGAGTCAGTGCACCTTTGATATCACCAGGAATGATTCACCTCAACAACAGCAACAACAACAGGTTTCTTCAGAGTCACGAACACCTCTGACCACGGCTGCTAGGACACAAAGGGAGCTGGAGCACCTGGTAGTCTGGGAGTGGGCGGGTTGCCCCTGCATTGCATCACCCGGTTCCCGAGTAACTCCTCTTAGCCGCGAGCGTGATTCCAGCTATTCTCATGGACACATGCTGCAGCGGAGCAGCATTATGAGCAGTAGAGCCACCCGTTTTCTTTCTCTCTCTCTTTTTTTTTTGGCCTGCGGCTCTACAGCTTGGCCTCTGCGTGTCCCAGATGTCTGTCTGCGTCGTCCCCAGTGACTGAGGGGACCATTTCCTGTGTGAACCAACACCCAAACGCAGAAAGCAATCGCAGATAACAATCTCATATACATTTGCATGGGCATGACAATTCTAAGAAGTAAATTGATGCCACTAATATCAGCCTATCTGTGTACTCAGGACGGGAAGTTTACTGGACGGCCAAGCACGTACACTCTGGTAATTTGGATGGGGGGGTGGGAGTGAGAGAGTGGTGGAGGAGGGGGTTGGGGTTGGGTGGAAGTTTCCTCACAGTCCCTTAGCAACAAGGTCTGCTGCTGGCAAGGCCTCCAGAATGTGCTGTGGTTTACAGCAGAGATAAACATTGACTTTGCCACCCTGAGAAGTAAATCTGATTTCAGTAATGGAACACTGCATGACTTTAAACATGAATCGGACAACAGAGGAAGCGAATAACAGAGTTACAGTCTCATCGGCGGACGGGATTCTTTAAAGCGCATTGAAATGGAAGGAATCTGCGATTAAAAAGCGGCTTTAATGAAAACAATTGTTGCCCTTATCAACCACGCAGCAAGGCCGGCCAAGGCGTAGCTGCCCCCATCTATCTTTGAGACTCCCATCTTTCTTTCATAAGAGACAAACATTTGTTTCTTAAGCAGAGGTGTCTTTTTCTGCACCGAATCAATGTCAAATTCACATTATGCCCATTAAGACCTCACGGCGAACTTGCAGAGCTTAAAAAAAAAATAAAAAATGTCAGGCTTCAGTGGAAAAACCAACAGAAATGAAAGGCTGGCTCTGTGTAAGGTCTGAGAGGGATAAACCTTCCTGGAAAAACTGCTGAGAGGCTTTCTGTCTTTTAATTGACAAACTGGCAGGGTGAATTTTGGGCTTTTTGTGTGACTGTGGGGTGAGACAGGGGGAGGGATAAACTGATCACAACCCCAGTCATACTCATAAAAAAATATGCTTCTCGCCCTCTGCACACAACCCGAGTTAAAGCTTGAATGAATCCAGGAGAGCGCCACAGTCAGCCATTTATTAAGAGAAGTTATTAGTGGACTCTAAGGTCAGAGCAGTTAGGGGACCCAGGTCAGCAGGGAATCTCACAATAGAGACCTATAAATATCAAACCAGGTTTATTTTTAGCACGCTTCAACAACGAGGCAGTTCAAAGTGCTTCACGCCATAAAATCAATGAAGTCACCTATTACAAAACAAGCAATACGCATTGCATCTTACGAAATACCATCTTCAAAATCGTCAAGCAAATACACATTCCAGTTATTATGAAACAAAGGCAACTCTAAAGAGGTCGATTTAAAGGAACTCAGTGTTTCAGCAGTTCTGCAGGTTTCTGGAAGTTTGTTCCAGATCTGTGGGGTATAGAAGCTGATTGCCTCTTCTCCATGTTTGGTTCTGGAGATGCAGAGCAGAACCAGAACCAGAAGACCAGAGAGTTCTGGATGGTTGATACAACCACAGTATTGTGGTGCTAAGTCATTCTGTGATTTATAAACTAGCAACAGTATTTAAAGTCTATTTTCTGAGCTGATGTGCTCCATCTTCCTGGTTTTAGCTAGACGGTGAGCAGCAGTTCACTAAACCAAAATACAATTAAGAGTGAGGCTAACTTCATTCAGCTTTAAAAATAGACTTAAAACTGTCTTAAATTCAAAACCTGAACTAGAACTGGCAAGTATATTAACTGCCATCATACAAAAAGGATAAATTCACATAAAGTCACATTTCATGTCCAATGCAAATGCAAATAAATCTCAGAAACTAAAAGCTACTTTTTGATGATCCTTGTTAATCGATTATTCTTAACCCATCCTGCCACACTCTACTGTATACACTCTATTGTACGTCAAACACTGCAGCTTTTTATTTAACAAATATGTTTAATTGCTGAATACGCAATAATTTATCAAACTAAATGCCTGCAAGTTCAAACTTTTTAAAAACAAGCACTTGCTGGTGGCTTAAAGGGATGGTTAAACATTGTCAAAGTTTGGTTAAAAGTAGTTTATACCTTAATTTGTAGTAGGTAATATTTTGCATTATTATTTTGTATAAATTGTATGTTGTCGCTGGGGTAATATATAATAACAACTGTTATACTGGACACTTATTTACAGAAAGTTACATGATTGATTATTGGGAAATGTGTGTAGAAAGTGAGGTTACCACCAATGATCTGACACTATGATACACATACTTAGATTAAGTGTTTTGACTCAAAATAACTGCCTGATATAATGTAAAACAGTATAAAAACTTTATAAAGCTTATATTTATGTTCAGCTATACATGTTTTATTTACTTTTTATGTCTAAAAATTTTATATCGGACATTTAGTCTGTCTGGATTTAGTTTTTTAATGTTCCAATCTCAGTATGTGTTTACACAGGAAGATCATTGGTGGCGCACCGCCTCCACTCCCTGGGAAAATAATCATTAGCTTCTTTACAAATAATGGCCCAGTGCAAACAAGTCAATGGTAAATGTTTATAAAAGAGCATTCACATAAATCACTACGGTCTTTTTTGAAAGACTAGTTATTTTTAAGACAAAACATTAAAAAAAGAGCTACAGTTTTGCTGTCACAACACACTAATTATCGACTTGGAGAATTATCAACAGGTAGGAGGTTTAATTTTTTTTTTTTTTTATTCTAAACTGAACATTTACACTCAAGTCAAACAGAGCTTTTTGGACCCCATACAGTCTAGGACCGGCTCTGCTCAGGGCCATCATATGGGGCATGTCTGTACAATCTGACCACATGATCTCCAACACAGATGGTAGGTTGCAATGTTGGACTGAGGGAGGGTGAATGATGCAGCACATGTACTGTCCAGAGGAATGGAGCCAGAAGCAAGAGGCAGGGAGAGGAAAATGATTAAATATCTACAGAAATAAACACGTTAATCCACAGCAACAACAAACACAGTGTTGCTTCCTGTGTACGAGCTCTTGTGGGACAATGAAGGGGCTTGTTTTATCTCCTCACAAATTCACAGGCCTGGATGTGATTTCAGCTTCCGAAAGAGTCTTTTTTTTTTTTAACACCACTGTGATTTTTTTTTTACCGAAGCTAGATTTGATACAACTCACTTTTCAGAGACATGAGTTACTAAAACATTATACGGACTCTAGGTTTTAAAACAAATGCTAAACTTGCGTCAGTGTGGTAAGGGGGGAAAAAAGAAACACCCAATGAAGACGCATGTGAAAGTTTTAAATTCAACATATCACAGAAGGTTACGGTCGCGTCTACTTACAAAAAGTTTTCCGACCACCGGACCGAAGTTCATCTTGGGAACTTCGAGATGAGCGTCAATCCCAAAGCAGTTCGCGTTCCGAAGCACCAGTCTGAAAACGTCTAAAAAAAACACACACTTAAAGTGAAAAAACAAACACGGACACGCGAGTCCAACTTAAAATCTATCCGTCATCCGGTTTCTTTCATAGGTTCACTGAGTTAGAGACTGAACTTTCGAGCGTTTTTTCCTGAGCAGGGAGACACACGGTCTGAGAGCGAATGTGGTTTTTTTTTTCTGTGCCTCGAGAACAGCTGTTGACGTCACTCGCGAAACAGCCAATCAGAATGCCGTCTCATCCCTGGGATAATAATTAAGCAGGTAATTGTTCAGGTTCTTAATGCTAAACACGTTCCACTGGTAGTTAATCCCTTTGCTGTCTCAGACATGCAAACTGGACTTATTTAACGATTTCTTAATCTTCACCAGCAACCTTGAAGAACATTTTTTGTTTTGTTTTGTTTTGTTTTGTTTTGTTTTGTTTTGTTTTGTTTTTTTTTTTAACCTTCAAACCCCAGACCAAACAATGGGGTTATTATGCAAGTCAGTTGCTTCTTGACACTCGCCTCTGCAAATACGTCTAGGTAGAAGAACAACAGGTGTAAAAGCAAACGTCCCGAGGTTTTATAACAGGCGGCTATAACATAACAGTGCCTTGCAAAAGTATTGGCATCCCTTGAACGTCTTTACATTTTCTACAAACTAACCACATTATATTTATTTGAGACTGTGTGTGGTTGGCCAACAAACCACACATATAGCTGTAAAGTGAGTAAAATTATGTGCTTTTTATAGTTATCTACAGAGTGTACTTAATATGTTATAATGTATTGACTAACAGTTGCTGCATTAACTTTATCTTCACATATTTTAGTACTTTGACGACATGTTAGCCCTGTAGAGGACACAGGAAACACTGAGAAGGAGGCGTTCTGGTCATGTTCCATGTTTGCTGGATAACTAACAATGCAAAACACTCTATGGACACTATGGTGAAAAGTGGTGGCAGCATCATGCTGTGGGGATGATTTTATTCCACGGGGTCAGGGACGCCGGTCAGAGTTTGAACTATTTAGAAAACAATCTGACTCAAACAGCAGACAGACATACCTCAAAAAGACATGCTACAAAAATCTATTACAAAGTAACACATGCAAATTCTTGGCACACTTTTCAGATTTTGAAGTGTAACAAAAGGAAAATCTTGTATAATTTTTCCTTCCACACCATTTTATCCCATAAAGAAACTATTTCTGTCTCATCTCCCTAAGCGAAAACCTCCCAAGAGTTTTGTTCTTTCAAATCTCCCCTCATGGGACTTAGAAAGTATCTGTGGTTACATATGTTTTAGATCAGAAATGTCCAAACTTTTAAAAATTGTCAAGTTGAAAGTACTCTGGGGGCCACAGAAGTTTTAGTGTTTTTCTTTTTTTAATAATAATAGCAAAAACTATTTTATTTATGTAATTTTTTTACCTGACAAATACACAACAAACTAAACACACAATATTTTCATGAAATAAGCAAAGCAGTCCGATTTCTGTAGACAAGCCACAGGTAAACTATAGATTTCACATAAAAAAACAAAACAGAACAATATATGGTAAAATTTTCAAGTTGATCATTTTTTTCTAAATTGTTTTGTGTCTTTTCACCAATAAGAACAGAATTTTACTCACTCTTGCTTTATTTTTGTCAAGTTTATGAATCGGCCAGGTCTGCATTGTAATTAAAGCCACTGGATGTTTTTAGTCCATATTGCTAACAAATCGAATTATATTAAATTTCACCCTGCCACAGTTTTTAAATGTGTATCTACATCAATCGCTGTTCTTGAACTGCGATCATGGGCCATCCAAAATCGTTCCATGGGCATCAGATGATCCCTTGACCCCACTTTGGACACCCCTGTCTTATATTATTAGAACATTTTATCATTTTATATTTCTACAATCAACTCATTGAACAACATGGTAGGAGAACTAGATTGCACACAGATGGACTAATAATTATGTGACTCAATCGCACTCAATTTTATTTAGCTTTATTGATGCAAAGATTGCTGAAAAAAAGTATGCCACACTTTTCAGACTTTAGTTTGAAAGGGGAAAACAACCTCACTTCATATACTGTTTTCGTACTATGTTGTGTTCGTTTGTCACATCAAATCCCAATAAAATACCTAAAAAAAAATAATAGTGCTTGTAATATGTGCAAAAATTTATGAGGTATTAAAATAAATACTTTTACAAGGCAATGCGGTTCTGGGAATCTGGAGTCAAATCTCCAATCCACTCGAATGAGAGAAGTGACATAATTTCTCAATGGAGGATGGACGTTTGACTTACTGTAGACAGGAAGATCCCCAGTCTGGATTGTGAAAATGTTCACTTCAATAAGCTGAGTCACTCACGTCTGCTCTGGAGATGCTTTTTTTAGGCTTTCCGTACACACTCCTGCTCTGGATCGGCCTTTCTCTTCACGTCCCATTTGCCCAGACCTATGATTGTTTCAAATCACTGATGAAAATCAAATTCTCCTCAATGGCTTTTAATCCTGCCAGCACACTTTTTTTTTTCATACACACGCAACCTGAGGTTGCTTTTAAATTGGCTTTACAAATAAACTTTGACTGTGCCTTTGATCAGCCTTCACTTGCTTACTGGTTACACACTCCAGCCTCATTAACCAGGCTATATAATGTGTAACTTGCAAGTAATAAATGGCTAATGTGCAACAGAAGTGAATGAATGACCCCAAAGTGGGAGAAAAACACATTTCCCGAGCAAAAGGAGACACTGAGTCCTCATTAAACTCAGTGGAAAAGTTGTAATTCAGCTTGTTTTTGGGTTTTTTCTCTCTCTTTTTACTCTATTTAGGGGAAATTGTCTTTCTTTTTCCTATGTTGTAAGGTCTACTGTTTGAAGGGCAAGTGATCTAGGGTTTAATGACACTAATTTATGCTAAGCAACATCAAATAAACATCCTGTCAAATCTGGTTCCTGCAGACAAAATCTTATCTGTCCCTGCGGTTTTAAAGCCCGCACGTCTGGGGAGAGGAGGGGAGAAAGCGGAAGACATTTGGGCTGACCGTACTAGGGCAATTTTAAAGGAAAAAAACAAAACAAAAACAAAAACAAATACAGTCGAGCTGGGATAAATACATTACTGCCAGGACATCGGAGTGATGAAACAAGGATTGAGCAACTTCTTAACACGTCTGAAAGCTGCCGGGTGAGCGGCTCACTTCTCATTCTCCTGCCTATTGAAACCGCAGTGTTATGAAACATTCCTGTGATTAGTGGGATATCTTGTGACCAAAGGCATGATAGTGACATTACAGAGAGGTGGAGAGGGGGAAGTGTGTGTGTGTGTGTGTGTGTGTGTGTGTGTGTGTGTGTGTGTGTGTGTGTGCGGGGGGGGGGGGGGGGGGGGGCGCGGGGACATCCCTACAA